GCTCAGCACAATACGTGCAAAACTATTCATAAACATTCCCTTCTACTACCTTTACATAAGCTAAAAATATGTGTGTTGTTCTGGCACTTTAGCGCCTATCTGGTCACGCTCTAGCTGTAAAACTAACAATAAAAATAGAATGATGAAAAATACAGGACACAAAAAAAAAAAGTAAAGCAGACATTTATAGGAGACTACAAGGCTATTTCCATAGAACTTTAAAGCAGAAACATCTTCACACCTTTTGAAAAGGCAGCAACATCTCTGAAGTGAGAAAGCATTCGAGTGCTAAGGAACTGAGAGTCTTTGGATCCAACATATGGCCTCCATCCTGTGTTTGAATGTGAGCAGGAGGATCGAATCCACGTGGATTTTCAGTAACATCAACAAACTCCATGCAGGCATGAAGGTTTGCCCACACACATGAAGCAGTGGAGATGGGACAAAGCAGGAAAGAATACTATAATGGATTGGATGCCAAAAGCTCTTAGCTACCAGATGCACCAGGCTGCATGTTATACCTTCCTATATGCCTAGTGATTACTTTCTCTCATATATATATATATATATATATGCGCTATGAATAATTCCTTCCCCTAGGATATTACATTTCTTACTTAAAAGTGCCAGAAAATAGTGACACTATTTGGGAATAATTAACTTGGTTTCAATATCTTTGTCCAAACATAACAATGAACGATTCACTGTTAGTTACTACTGGACATTAGAGCCTTGATAGTCTTCTCTTCTACAAGACTGCTTTAGCTTGAATTATCTCAGGTTGTACAATGCTAAGAGAAGAAGAGTTATCAGACCTTACAGACCATCATTCAACAGGTAATTCAAGCCTTGGCATAATTTAGAGTTCCTATAGGACAACTCTCTGTTATGCCAGGTAGTAAGAGCTCAGAGACTGCAGAAGCAGCAAGACAGAGAATGAAGTGCAACTGTGCTCCAAATGCACCCCTAGCCCTCAATGCCAGGAGATGCTACATCAGATGCGCAATACACAGTGGAATTCCTTGATAGACAGGATTTTTTTTATACCATCTTAGCTGTTCATGATACATGATTTATCACCCCTGTGTGCTGCCAAACAGGCCAAAGAAGTTACATCATAAAAGGGATCTGTCCCTACGTGACTTGAGGACAACAGCAAAGGATGAAAATACTTCCAAATAATGAGAGAGCTGTAGGGACTGCATGAATTTCATCCATATTAGTTCCCGCAAGCCAAAACAATAAGAGGTAATATATCAGTTCATAGGAAGCCACAAAGATGTTGAACATGCAGGTTTTATACATAATTTCGTTGATGGATTAACAGAAAATGTACATAGAAACCTTCTTAATCAATGCCCACGACAGTAGCATTTTCTTATTTAAATGAAGTATCGTGTAAGGGTTTGAAAACAGCATCCTGTTTTTTTTCTTGAAATTGATTGTTAATACAAATCACAAAAAAATTGCTCATGATTTATACAAATGACTATGCAAACAAAGGTGGCAGCCATTATGGGATCAACAACATCCCACCTGAGAATGCTGATGCTAATTAATCTTTGGTGGTATTATCACCCAGGAAGGAAATTCTGGACATCATACCAACAACTATGATCCTCTTTCTATATAAACAGTATAACCCCTGTGCCATGATTACCCGCATCTTCAAAGGAACAACAACCAGAGAGGTCTTATGTCAGCATTCTATCTACAGGACATCTTCACTTCCACTGCCCTGTGTTCCTTCTGTGCTGTAGTATCATTAAAAGGAACAAAACCTCAAAAGTCATAATACAAATCATGACTATTTTTCCTCAGAGACTACAACTCAAAGGAATAAATATGCATCATAACTTAGAAGGGAAGAGAGGGCTTTCATTTCTTTCTAAAGAATAGAAATTGTTTTCTTGGTCCTTCAATCTGTTCTTATTTCTCATTTGCATCTGCACAAAGAAACTAGATTCTCCGTTCAAACAAGCAACTTCAAGGAGCAAAAGCCTTAATTCAGTATGCCAAGAAAGCAAAAATATTCAGTTTACAAAGTTCACAGATAAATTATTTCCCAAACACAAGGGCCAGTAATTAAAAAAAGAATTATTCCTAAATCTCAGTATCATTTCTTCCAAATGAAGCAATCTATCATACGCACAGGTAACTGACTGATAAAAAATACGTTAGGTATAAAATATTTTGAAAATATATGTGCCTTTTTTTAATAGATGAAATTACTTTCCATATACTGTCTCACAAAAATTCACACATGTGAGAGACACAAAAAAGCCATTTGTATAACTTCATTATTTATTTTAATTAAGAAACACAGCATAAGTGCTACATTCAGCATAATTTATATTTAAATGTCATGTAAATACATAGCAAAAGACAATGTGACATAACATTGAACCTATGTTTAATAAATAAGTTTACTAATAATGATAAACTAACTTAATAGTCTGTTCAATTCAGTGACTGACATCATCCCTTTGAACAGCAGCCCTTAATAGGCCATCATCCAAATAACCACTGGAATTAGCAGGAGGGCCATCACAGGTTTAATTAGACACTGAATCAAGCGTTTACTAATGTTCAGGAAAGATCCATGCACAGAAGACCAGTCTTGTATCTTCATTGCTGAAACAACTGACTTAATAAGAAAGAGAAAAAAGAAGAAAAAAATACTACTACCACATTCCTTAATTCACACCCCTGTAATTTGCAGCAGTGTGCTCAACCAGTGTTTTTTTTAAGTAACATGTTGAATGAATGACCAGAACTGAAGTGCTAAAAATACCCAGTTTCTGGAATCCAGTGTTGAGGCAAACCTAACAGGCTTCATTACATCTTCTCTTACTTACACTGTTATCCAGACATCCCAGCTAGATAATATGCTACAAAACATAGTGTGAAAAGGATGACAGAGGAAAGATACAAAGCATTAGTGCCAGTCAGATATCTACAGATCTTAATCCCTTTTACCAAGATGACAAATCCCAAGGATTCCTGAAAAAAATAAAAATACCGAGGAAGGAAAAAAAAAAAGCCTAAATGCATGCACACATCCTCTATGTGGTTAAAATTGTTTGAAACCACAGCTTTACCCATGCAGCAAAAGCATCCCAGCATTCATTTATTCACTTTATTCCCAAAAAAAGAAAAAAAAAAAGAGAAGAAGAAAAGAGAGATGGATATCGGTCTGTTCTTAGTGCTAGAGGGAGATGGAGAGCGATGAGGGCCCCTGCAGGACTGATCGCACTATCAGTTTCAGAAGCCTGGGTTCCCATGTCTGAAGATGAGGAAAGGAGGGGGGGAGATTAGGAAACACTGGCAGCTAAATGCGTGGCATAAGGACCTGCACAGAATGGGACAGCTTCTTTCTGTCTCAGGATATTACTGTCAGAACGGCCAAGAAAGCGATGAGCTTCATTTGTCCAGTCTCACTGTGGTACTTTAAGAAGTGCCTAATTTGAAGAGAACTGGACAGGTGGCATATCACGCTGAGCTAAATAGATAAGTGTGAGATTTAAATGACAAGAGGCAGCAGGTTTTGCTGTTCTAAAGAGTGAGAGAGTGAATTATTCTGATGGTACCAATGGGCACAAGTGGAAGGTCAGCCTGGGGTGCTGCCAGTGTCATCCGGGTGCCTGGTAGCAGATGGTGCCAGTCTGTAGGGATAAAAGAAGGGCTGACATACCCCGCGGGCCGACAGCAACACTATTTGCTCAGGAATAAAAAAGTTTTGGGGCAGGTGCAGGCAATACAAATAAACATAGATGCTGCCACCCCAAATGTTGGCATAAGTGTCGCCAGTCCAAGGGCTGTAAGGGTGGATCAGTCAGGAAGTGCTGCAGAAAGCGCAGTGGGGGCAGGCACTGCCAGGGTGAGATGCTGCAGGGGCTGCTGGCTGGCTGGGAGCCGGCAGCTGGCCCAGGCCAATCTCTGCGTGGCCCCAAGGGAGCTTTGGGGCTCCCTCTCCCTAAGCACCTCCAGGCTGGACACTGAGATGTCCACCAGGACCCCCTACCCCCCCGCCCCGCAGTGCCTTGCCTGTACTGCCTGCGTTCCCATTTCTGTATTTATGCAATGACTTGAGGGCAGAGGCAGCCTGCAGAGAAGTGGAACAGCAGGAGACGCAGGCAGCCTGGATTCCCATGGGGCTCCCTGAAGTGTCCCAAACTACAAAACTGGCCACCTCCCCACTCCTGCCTCCTGCAACATAATTATTCCAGCATGACTGACATGACAAATTAACAAGGCAGCCAGGGCTTTTGCAGTAGAAGGGAGTGTTTTCCCCAAGAATAAATTGTTCCAATCCTTTACGCTAGACACCCGGCCGTGCCTATTCATTAATTGGACAAGCTCTGGTGACAACTGAAATTACCCGACTTCTACATACTGGAGGGGAGAGATCCTTGCAAGCTTAAAATGAGAAGCCTAAAGCTGGAATCCCAGCGACCAAGGAGTTCTTTGAAGGGGGCTATTTTTTTCTTAAATTCATTTTCAGAGCACAGCCACAGTAAAGCTCCTTTTAAAAGCAAAGGCACATACTTCAGTGTCATTCCTTGCTTTGCAGACCCTGAACTGTGGTACCAGAACATGACAACTCCGCCAATGAACCGCAAACCTTTTAAGATCCACAGATCAGCCAAGTTAAAGAACTTCAGGAGCTATGAAATTCTGGGATTACTGCAATATTGCGATTAATTATCACAATCAGGTACATTAGGAATTATAAGCATCTGTTTAATCAGTACACTGTGGTTATTTATTGCAACCCGTGTATCGTAATTGCTACACAGGTATTGGCATTAAGGGGAGGGGGATTGATGTTTGTTGATTTCCGTCACAATCCACTCACAAATACATTGTTCGTGTATTTTTCAACTACTGTTTTGATTTGGGTTTAACTGTACCTCTCGCCCCTTGCTAAGGGGAAGCCTGGGAACCCTGTATGGTATTTCCCCCGCGCCCCCCCCCTCCTTTCTGTGCTAGCTGCGTACCTGAAATGCAGACGATGAAATTCGCTTGCAGAAGAAAAAGCACCTCCCAAACAATTTCCATCCTCCGATTCTCATGCCAAGTGCATCCCTCGGCGAAAAAAAATAACAAAGATCAATATCGCAGTTTGAACGATCCCAGCAAATTTCCTTTCGGACTTGCAGACTGTATTCCCCAGATGTGCTGACAACACATGTCCGAGCTCTCTCTCTGCACGGCTCAAGCGAGATCCCTTCCCTTCCTTCGCCCTCCAAAAAAGACCACGAAGCCAACTGCCAGCACCGGGCTCTTCCTCCACGAGTGAGAAAAAAATCCACCAGATTTCCCAACAAGACATAGACAACAAACCCCAACCGATCCGGTCCGGAGAGTCTCTATTCCAGGGCGGCCAGGTGGAAGTTAACCCCAAACTCTGCACGTCTCAGCGGGGCAGTGCCAGCATGCCTGGGGGAGGGAGGCGGCGGAGGGAGGGGGTGTCCTCTCCTGCTGCTACAAAATGAGCGGAAAGAGATTAATACCCGCTGCAACGCATTCGCCCCCCGCATGCTACCGCACCTCC